GAGCTATTTTGGGAAGGTTTTGGTGTTGCCGGCTCCGTGGCAAGTGATGGAGGAGGAGGGGGTGTTAAAATTCACTTCCCCTCCACCGTCAGGGATAGGGCAGTGGGAGTGGTGTTGTATTTCCCGGTGGCAAAATCCCCCTGCCAAAAACCTGGCTTCCCCTCATTTTAATTAATTAGCTGAATGATTTCTCCATCTGGAAGATATCCATGTTTTGTTTTGGTGTTGCCGGCTCCGTGGCAAGTGATGGAGGAGGAGGGGGTGTTAAAATTCACTTCCCCTCCACCGTCAGGGATAGGGCAGTGGGAGTGGTGTTGTATTTCCCGGTGGCAAAATCCCCCTGCCAAAAACCTGGCTTCCCCTCATTTTAATTAATTAGCTGAATGATTTCTCCATCTGGAAGATATCCATGTTTTCTGAACGCTCACGGCCCCCCAGCTTTGGGCACATCAGCTGGGTGAAGACTCTCCCCACGAGCGGAGCTGACTGGGACCATCCCTGAGCCCCATCACTGCCCAGCTGATCCCAGCAGTGCCTGGGATGCAGAAAAGCCCCATGAGAAGCCCCAGGCTGCAGTTTATGCAGCCAAAATCAGAGCCAGGACCCCAACCCATGGTTGGATGAAGCTGCCAGCTGGTATAACCTCACTTTTTTCCAACTGGCAATGCCAGCAGGTACCAGCCAGGGCATTTTGCAGGCAGAGCCCACCAGCTCTCACCAGGAAAGCTGCTCATCCCCAGCCTCCAACTGCTGCAACATGAGGGTTGCAACCCTCCTCGGCTCCCCATTGCCCTTTCCCTGCCAGATTCCCCCCTCTACACATTGTGCAGAGGGTGCCAAGCCCCCCAAAAGGCTGCCCAGAAACAGCCCTTGCAGGAGAAGAGATGTTGGAAATTTCAGCATCATTATTTTGCCAACCAGGGAGAGTCCGGTTTGTAAAAATGCATTTCCCCTTCCACACATATTTTTTCTTAAAGCAAACAAATGTGGGCAGATGTCATTACAGCTGCAGCTGCACTTTGGACACCAGTCAACTCAAATATCTCTTTGTGATGCTGTCTCCTCTACCAGCCAAAAACAAGCTTAGAAATATAAAATCCAGGGAGCAAAGTAATTCCCCAAAACTTCCTCTCTTTTTCATGTTAACGAAAAGACGTGAGGAGAAGGGGTGAAAAGCTGAGCCTGGTGTCTGAGCTGCACTTGGCTGTGGTGCTGCAACCAAAATCAGCCAAGGGATGGGTTTTGGTGCTTGCTAATGTGGGCACGTTCACCAGGAAGCCTGAAGTTAGCTCAAAGTATGGTCTAAGTCAACTCAAAGCCAACTCAAATTTACCTCAAAGTCAGCCCAAAGCTAACTCAAAGACAACCCAGAGTCAGCCCAAAGCCAGCTCCAAGCCAACCTAAAAGTAGCTCAAACTCAGGTCTAGGTCAACCCAAAGCCAACCCAAATTTAGCTCAAGTCAGCCCCCAAACAGCCCAAAGTCAGCCCAAAGCCAGCTCCAAGCCAAGCTAAATGTAGCTCCAGGTCAGCCTAAAGTTAGCTCAAAGTCAGGTCTAAGTGGAGCCAAAGCAACCTCAAATTTAGCTCAAATTCAGGCCGAAACAGCCCAAAATCAGCTCAAAGCCAACCCAGCGATAACCACCCACGATGCAGGAAGCCTCCAGTTAAATAATGGGGGACAAGAAGGAGCAGAGAAGGATGCTGCAGAATAAATGAGCTCGTTGCCACGCAGGGAGCAATACCAGCCTCGGAGGCGAGCGTTCCAGGAGAGGGGAGAGGAGGAGGAGGGATGGCAGGAGCCCTTTTTGTTTCCTGAGCAGCAATGTCTTTTGCCCAGAGCAAATGAAAAGCAACGCAAGAGCGCTGAAGAGCAGCCAGTAGAATGAGATGGTAGCTCTCCAAGTGTGACAAATAGGCTTCCCCAACAAGCCTTGCTCATTAATCGCTGCTTTATTTGCGTAATCCATCTAAAATCACCCTCGCTGCAGCTTTAGCACATTTCCTTCCATGATCCCAAAGTTGATACAGCCATGGACTTTATTTTCCTCACTTTGCCCATTCACCTTGTGGGGAGCTCACGACCCTCTGCCAGATGCCTTGTCTCACTCATCTCCTCCCCAGCACACCCCCAAGGTAAGGCACTGATTAAAGGAACCAAACGAAAATGAGACCCACAGGTCATTAGAAAGTCAGCAAGTAACACTTGTCTCCACAGCTGCTGCAGAGAAATGGGCTTGAAAAGGAGCATGAAGACAATGGCCTGATCCTGCAGGATGCAAAACTCCTTTGCCGTGTTCTGCTGCTGCTTGGGGCATGCCTGGAGATGGTTTTTTTAAAGGCAAGAAGCTTCTAAGAAGCAAGAAGCCATCCCATGTGCAGGGGCACAGGGGATGGGGGATGTCCCACAGCCTTTACAGCCCCTGCCACTCCCTCATTCACCAGCACCAGGGTTATTTCTTCCCTCAGGGGATATTCCCAGTGCAGGGCAGCTGGTGGTGCTTGGCCAGGAGCAGGACTCCCCACGGGCACCACTCCCATACAGACACAACTCTTAACAAAAACTGCTTCTTATACAGCCAGGATGACCAAGCTGAGAGAAGGAATTAAGCCCCGAATCCACTCACAGGCACTTGGGGGGGGTCTGTGCTCTTGAACATGACTTGTCCCAGCCTGTGGTGGGAGGAGGGGCTGCAGTAAAAGCCCCTCTCCCATTCCAGCAGTGCTGGGGGCCAGGGCTAAAACCCCCAGCAAGGTCCCAGCTCCAGGCATTTGTCCACTACATGGTCCCACCAGCCATGCAGATGGGACACTGGACTTCCCCCAGCCCCAACACCCCCATCCATGGTCGCTAGACCAGCCTGGGCTGGCCAGCACAGCCCCAGCTCAAACCAGCCTGGCTAATGCAAATGAACTCTGAGATGCTAATTACCATCAGGGTCCACTTTGGTGATAAGGATTCATTTGCTTCCTGCCCATCCTGTTATTTGAGGGAACATGCAAAAGTCCTCCCACTCCACACAGCTCCAGCCTCCCACCTTCTCAGTGTTTTCCCCATCAGGGTATTTTAGGGGTCTCCCCAGACCCCCCCCAAATGGTTTCTCAGCAGACATTAACCTCACAAACGAGTGACTGCAGCTCTGAAGCCAAACCAGCAGCACCGACCACAGCAAATGAGCACCCCAAGAAGGACAACCCCCCTGAGAGCAGCTGTGAACTTTTGGAGTGAAACCACCACACCCTTGATCCAAGGGGCTTGCAGCCCAAGCAGTTCCACCCCAAAATACACAGAGCTGGGGTCCCCTGCACCCCATGTCTCCCATCCTCCCTGCAAGCCCCCCCGAGGACCCCTTACAGCCGGGGCACCAAGGAGGACACTCTCCCAGCAATACTGGGGGGAAGAGCACCCCGCCCCTGCAGTGGGAGCCCCTCGTGGGGCTGGAGGAGGGCAGGGGAGGCCCCAGCCCCCGGGCTCACCTCCGATGCGGGCGTTGAAAAAAAAGTTTTGTTGGCTGCTCCTGCCCCCCCCCCCGCGCAGCGAGTGCCGTGCCTGCAACGAGAACCCCCCGTCAGCCCCTGGCAAAGGGTCCCCACAGCCACCCCCCCCCAGCACCCAGAGACCCGTCTAGAGGCTGGGGCAGTGCAGGAAAGTGTCCTGAGAGCCCGCAGCAAGGGCTCAGCTAAACACAGAAAGCAATTTGCTCTTTGCTTTTGCACCTAAAGGCAACTCCCTCTCTGCATCCTGCACCTCGGTGCAATTTGTTCTTTGCATCTTGCACCACAACGTAATCTGCTCTTTGCTTTTGAGTCTCCATTCAACCTGCTCTTTGCATTCCCATTTCCATTTCGTGTTGCTTTGCCACCATGTGCCCATCTTGCTTTAGCCAAAGCCCAGGAAGTGCATCCCAGCTCTGACATCTAAGCCACCCAGCCTGACCCACGTTGTGGTTCACCCCCAAGCACGGTGAGGGACCCCCCTGTGCATCCTTCCATGGCTCAAGGCTTCCTTAGCAACTAGCCTGGTGGCCACGGGCTGGATTTGCATTAAACCCAACGACTCTGTGCAAAGCTCTTAACGTGGCACCTTCTGCAGCAATGGGGAAAAGCCACGGACCTGGAAGGCACCCCAGGGGGGACACCCAGTCCCAAGGACCCCCCCCCCCAAGACCTCCACAGCCACCAGCATCACGTACTTATTCTCATTGCTGGCGTCGTAGCGCGGGGTCGGGTCGTGGTCGTTCCCGTTGACGTCGTAGCTCGCAAGAGGGTCCTGAAAAGATGTTGCCACCATTAGATGCCACTTGCCAGCACAGCGTGGGACAAACTGGCTCTGCCAGTGGCATGGTTCTGCTTTGCCCACAGCCACCGTGGTGGCCCACAGAGCCAAGCCAGGCAGAAAATGCCATTTTCCCCTTAGTTTCTATTTGCTGAGAATAAACAGCTTTGGGCTGCAGATCTGAGCGTTTCCCAGGGGAAACAACCCTCTACCATGGGGATGGCTCCTCTGAACCCCAAATCCTGCTGGGTCCAGCACTGTCCCCACTGCAGTCACGGCCAGTCAGGCTTTGAGCCGGGGCTGAGCTGGTTCGTGCAGGTTTTTGCCTCTTCCCTGGAGAGTCAAGGGGAGGTGGCTGCTTCCCAGGCAGCTGCAAAGGGAGTTTCCCCAAAATCTTCTTGCCTAAAAACCTCATTTCCTTCTTAAAAACATCTCCAGCTTTTTGAAAAAAAAAAAAAAAACCAACAAACACTTTTTCTCCTAATCTCCCAACGTACAGGCTTAAGCTATGTTTATTTGCTGAAATTCTCCAGAAATCAATTCCCCGCCAGGACCAGCCCCAGCCCATCCAGCCCCAGCCCGCCCAGCCCCCAGCTCACGTAGTTTTGCAGGAGGTCGGGGTGGTTCCTCTCTATACCATCGTCGAGGATGGTGATCACCACGTTTTTGCCAGTGTAGCCCCTCTGCCAGGCTGCCAGGATGTTCATCTCCGACCTGCAGCGGCTGCTTTTGTCGCTGCAGTGCTACGGGGAGAAACAGAGCTGCAAAAGGGCTGCAACCCCATTTCAGCCCATCTAGAGTGAGCAGCCAGGCTGGGAGCCCATTTAATCAACCAGAAAATATATTTATATCCCACCCTCTGCCATATAACTTGTAGATTTGTTATAACTTTGCTCCACAGATCAAAGCCATCCAGCAGCAGTTAATCCAGGCAACGCTATCTCCCTATTATTCTTTCTCTCTTCCATTTCAAATACTGCGGGCTCTTCGGTTTTGAAGTGCTCATTTCCTTTCTCCACTTAATTTTCAATGAATTTCCCTGTCAAATACAGATCGATGAAGCAGGCAGGAGAAAAATGATACTGCAAATGGATGGTTGCAGCTTTTGGATGGGTGAAACACAGCGGTGCTGCTCCCGACCGTAACAAAGGGCTGCTAATGATGGTGGAACACTCCAAATTAGACTATCTCGTGTATTAATCCACAATTTTAAAATCCTGCTGCCAAGGACATGTGCTGATGTTTCCTTACTGGCCATGCTGAGCAAGGACTGGCAACACGTTTGATTCAAACCACATTAACCCCCCCGTAAAGCAGCAGGTTCCTCGTGGGGTGGCAGTGGGGAGATACCTACCAGGTACCACATGTTGGGCCACACCGGGTCGTTGAAGGGCAGGGGGTGTGGGTCACCTCGGACCTGCCTCTTCACCCGCCTCTTCACCTCCTGCTGCTGCAGCCAGTCCACCTGCAAGCAGAGCTGGGGGTCAGCATCCCCCGTGGGCACGGAGCTGGGCATTGCCCAATGAAATGGGACGTGGAATCGCTGCCAGCCACAACCTGGACCCATCCCAGCATCACCTCATGCTCTGGCAAACCTCTATCTCCTCATCCAGAGCTGCTGCAGAGAGAGCAGCTCCAGTTTTTTTGGGGAGGAAGGATGGATGAACAGACAGACAAGGCAAGCACAGCTCTTTGTGGGCTCCAAGCCAAGGACCAAACTCCTCTCCCAGTGCAGCAAAACCCTCAGGCACAAATAACGTCACCTCCAAGCGTGTGCCTAAACCCCCCCAGCTTAATGAAGCCCAGAAGCACATGCCGAGGTCCCGCTGGAGTCAAACCACATATTTCAGTGTTTAGACAAAGTGTTGGAGAAGACTCAGGTGCTTGGCTTAATTTTGGGGCTGATCCTTTTCCCTGGCTGGAAGGCAGCAACAGCAGCAGCTCAGCCCTGAGACTTCCTCACCAGGCTCCAGGGCTGCTCATCCTTTGAGCTCCTGATAAAATAAGAAAATTGGGAAGGGGGGGGGCTTTACTCAAGCACGAGACGTTTCCCACAAACACAAGACATCCCCACGCTGCCCTGGCAGGTCTCGAGGGATTTCATCAGCTCCAGAGAGGCATTTTTGGCACTGGCTGGGGGTGAGGTGGCCTTGGGGCCGAGTGCTCTGACATTTGTTTGCTTTTCAGTGGGGCATGACATGCGAGGAGATCAAACGGGAAAAGGGCCGGAAAAGGCTGGGATTGGGAAACTCCAGTGTTTGCCTGCACTGCTGTGGCAGGAGCTGCCAAAGGTGCCTGGTTAGGAGCAGCCACACAAGCATTTTCCCCCTCCAGACCCTTTAATGCCCACAAAAAGGGCTCTCCCGCCTTCAGCGCAGAGATCAAGCCCCAATTTATTGAAAATAGGCTGTAAAAAGGGTTTATAGACCAAATCTTTGCACGTGCTGATGCTGGGGGTGGAAGGGAGGCAACAGGCGACGAGCTGGGAGGGCTCTGCAGCACACCCCTCCTCGCCAGACACCACCTTCCCCATGGGTCTTTTGGGAACAGGGATGCTTCTCCTTTTGTGACTAAGGTTTTGTAACAAAAAGAATAAAAATCTCAGAGGCAAGTTTTTTGCTGGGCTCATTTGTGTGAAACTGTCTGCTGAACGAGTTCCTCTTGCAGAGTTTACAGCTTTTTCACTTGGATGGAGAGCTGTGCAGATCAGAAACCTGGCAGTTTCCAGCCTAACCATATATATTTGAAAGGAAAAAAAATGTTGAAAGGGGAAAAAAAAAAATATACATTTTTCATAGAAAAATGAGTTTGCATGCTGCCTTGGCTGATGACAGCACGTTGCTTTACTTATAGAAGGATGCATTTAAGCATTAGGAGCAAATATACAACTTAATGGGCTAGTTAAAAAAAAAAGAACCAAACACCAACCAGCCATTAAATAAAGGATATGGCCCAAATATCCATCTTTTCTCCTTAAAGCAGCACTCCTTGGCAGCATTACTGTGAATCTCACTGCTTGGGCCACAGCTATTGCCCTTCCCTGTGGCTTTGTTGGCTGCAGGAAAAAAAACTGGGAAGATGTGGGATTTCACAGGTTTTGCTGTGGTGCCTCACAGGGATGGCTTCATCTTCTCCACCATCCTGATCGACCCCAGTGCTTCCAGCTGGGAGCTGATGGAGGAGTCTTGGGTGGACACAGAAATCAGCAGTGGCACAGCATTGATTTCAGGGGGGGGTTTGCTAAATTGATGCAGCTGCTGTGGGAAAACAGCAGGCAAGGGAGAAGGAGCCTGGGGCAACCCTGTGATGGCTACCGTGGCTTGTGAAACTCTGATCCCCTTCCATCACTCAGCTGGGGTGGGGGAAAAGCTTCTCAGAAATAATAAATAAGAATTTTTATTTTTTTTTTTTCCTACTAGAAATGGCCAAAACTGTTGCAACACAGTCCTGAGCCTGGGCTGTGCCAGGTCCATCCCTGCAAGCCCTAATCAGAGGAGAGGCACCAGAGGACCCTGTGAGGAGACACAGGTATCACTGAGCCAAGCCCTGTGTCCTCGCTGGAAGCAGAGGGACAGCTTTTCATTTTCCCCCTTATTTGGAAATTTTCAGTGGGTGATGCCCAGATTCAGCCACCCAGGCTGGCTCCACCAAACCTGATGACCAGCACAGGTTTAACAACACAACTCCTCCCACAGCTCCAGAAAAGCAACAGCTTCAATTTTGCCAGGGGATGTGCAGGAATTAAAGTGGAGATCCAGGACCACACGCTTGCCAAGGTCACCTGGCCTCATGGAGAAGAGGTTGAAGCTGAAGGAGCCACTCATGGCCCCAACAGGACCCGGCAGGTTTGAGAGATGTGGAGATACACAGCAAAAGGATGAAAAGAACAAGTTGGAAGGGGAGAAATCCTAATAGGGTATAAACAGAGTAATTATTTGGGTAGAGTAGTGGCACATCAGGGTGATCCTGGGGAGCTGGTGATGAGGGACATGGTTTAGCAGTGCTGGGTTAACAGTTGGACTCAATCTTAAGGGTCTTTTCCAACCTAGATGATTCTATGACAAATGACTCCAGCATGTTTGCCATGAAGCACAAAAGGAGTAGTTTAGTTTGGGTTGATTTTGCTACAGTGTGTGGCCAGATGCAGAGGAACTGAGGCTGTGACATCCCCCAATGATGATTAAGAGATGGGAGCACAGAGGCTGAAGGCTCAAACACTGTGAGGACCAACAGGTGAGTATCCCAGTGAGCCAGGGAAGTTTACAGCAACAAAGGCTGCAAGTGGAGCCTGCAGGAGAGGCAGCACAGCACGACCTGACCCTGTTCTGCCCCTCCACATCTTTTCCTCTTGCCACCATGACCTGTCCCCAGAACTGCTGGATTTGCTGCATCCCTCCTCCCTTCCCATCATCCGCCAGCTCACTTGGCTCATACCAGCCCCAAACAGAGCCACCTCAGGGGGCTCTTGGGGTGAGAGGGGAGCTCAGCAGCTGTGTGGTCCCACAGGCACCAGGACCCTGGGTGCTGCCCTGTGTCCCCTGGGTCTCCCCCTCTGCAGCCATCCACATCCTCAGGATGGAGAGCTTGGCTGTAGCCCCTTTCCTGGGACCTGGCTCTTGTGCCCCCTCGGCAGAGCCAACCAATAATATAATGGCACTGGAAACAACAGCCCCAGAAGGCAGGAGCCACCCACCATCTGCAAATGATCAATTTGCTGGTTCTTCTGGATTTCTGCAAGATTTCTGTTCCAGTTCCAGCTTCTTTGTGCCTCAGGGGGTTGTCCTCCCGAGTCCCTCAGGCTAAGCCAGTACCATCCAAACCCCAGGCATCCCCAGAACGATTTGCAAATGTGCATGGGAGAGGGGGAGAGGTGACACATTCCAAGAGGTCTTGAACTCCAAAGGATAAGGAAGGATTAAGAGAATGGGAACTAATTGCTGTAGTTTGCAGTCCATAGAGCAAGATAAGGTAAATGTTAATAAGACTGAAAGCCAATTGATTTGGTTTGCACTATAAGGAGACTCATTTAAATGGAGGTATTTCAACTGGAGAGCTGAATTCCTGACTTGCTGGGATGCCTGTGCACCCATCAGAGCCCAGCACACTCCCAGTGCACTGCAGCCACCAGTGAGGAAGCTCCTCAGAAATGTGCTACCAAATATTTAAGAGCAAATCCCCCTGGGAAGCTGGCTGGCAGGGGAAAGCAGGGCTGCTGTGCAGCTCTGGAGAAGTGGGGCTGGGACCTGTTGTTGCCAAGCGGGTTGGAACTGTCTGGGGGAAGAGCATCCCAAGGGTGAGTATCAGTACAAACACCAGCAGCCCCTTCACCACAGTGGCTTTTCTGCATTTATTTCCCCCTCCCCTCAAAACCCAGACCCTCCCCACACGTTAACCCTTCCTCTGCCCTGCAGAAGGAGCATCTTGCAAGGCCGGGGTGCTGGCAGGAGCTGAGGGAGGAGGACAGTCGAGGCAGAGCTGCAGCCCTTCCCTACCACCCCGAGAGCCCAGCTCCCCCAGGTCCTGCCTGTCCCCCACTCCCCACTACTTTTATCAGTTCAGCTGCACTGAAAATGCCTTTTGGATGCTTGCTCGAGGAAGAAGCACTGCAGAACTCCTGCCAAGGATTTCACACATAGCAACCACCGAGGCAGGGAGTGTTGTGGCAACTGGATCAACACCCCGCACATGCAACAGCCTCTCTACCCCGGAAGGCTTTTCCCCCCACCCTCTTCTCCTCCCCTCGGTGTTCGGGCAGATGTGAAGGTTTAGTCACTCCTGAGTGTTTCTCCTCACCCCCCGAGGTCCCTGCGCCCAGTGAGTCACCCCACGCACGCACCGGGCTGCGGTTCAAGGATAACACATCACTGCGAGAGGCTTGGGCTCCTGCTTGACCCAGCCCAAGCCAACAGGCTCCTCCGGGGGGATAGCAGGGACCCCCATCCCACTGACCCTCACAGAGGCTGGGGGACCCCGGGCTGCCCAGCCCCATACCTTGGGGTCCATGCGGAGGAAGTTGTGGGGTCCCCGGCTGCTCAGCGTGGAGCGTTTGAACGTCTTGCTGTGGTGGAAGTGGTAGTAGTTCTCCAAGCTGCCAATCTGCAAAAAGAGGTTTTATTATTAAAATAAAAAGGATGTTTTTCTGTGGTTTCCCCCCTCCTTTCAGTGCTGGCAGCATCCCTTTGTGCATCGGTGCTCACACAAAGCTCTGGGACAAAGGCAGGGTTCAGGGATGGATGAGGGACCCTGGCACTAACCCCGGTGCCATGGCAAATGGTGCTGGTGGCCGGGCCCTGCACTGGCACAACAGAGCCTGGAAAACCTCTTTGTGAGTTTTTACCCGCTAAATGCATCTGTTCAAACTGCCTTCCATCAGCTCCTGAGCTGAAATAACGAGCTCCAAATGAGCTCAGCAGCCGCAGTGGAGCCAGAGCTGTGCCTCAGCCCTGCTGCCTTCCCCCACCCCACGCCCCAGCACTGAGACCAGCCCTGGGAGGAGAGGTGAGGGGGGACCCTGATAGCCCCGGGGGAGCACAGGGTAGAAATGTGTCTAACCTGGAGTCAGGGATGGCAGCAGGAGTCAAAATAAATTTAAAAAAAGCATCTCCAAGCAAACCAACCATTCCTCCCAAGGGATGCCCCAGCCTGGAGTCCCTCCCCAGCAGCCTGGGAGCAAAGGTGAGCTGGGAGGGCAGCCCCACCAGCTGCCTTCAGCTCAGGGAAGCCCCGTGCTGCTCTTTTACAGGTTTTTACCCCTTTTTTTTTTCCTTGCACAGAGCTGAACTACCCCACGTTTGTGGGAAAACACGGTGCCAGCCACACCACCCTGCCAAGCCCCGGGGGTGGCTGTGCTGCCTCCAGCCCTCCCATCCCAGCAGCTGGAGACACAGCCATTCCTCTTTTTCCATCCCAAAAGCACGGACGAGATCCTGGGGCTACCCAACAAGCCAGGGGATCTCGGGCAGGCCCTGCATGACAAGCATCCCACAGGAATTCACAGCCACAGGGATGGGCATCACCCAAAAGCTGCACTCACTGGCACGCAGGTCCCACAGTTTTGGTACAAATTTGGTTTCTGCTATAAATTCCCTTTTCCCCAAGGTTGGTTTTCTTCCTCTGTCCCAAGGCCAGGAGCTAGAAGCTGCAGGAAGGCAGTGGCAGCCCCCGT